GTTCAAGGCCAGGTTGGCCACAGGGGCTTGGAGCAACGTGCTCTAGTGGAAGGTGTCCCTGCCCGTGGCAGGGGGCTGGAACTGAATGAGCTTTAAAGTCCCTTCCAACCCAAACCATTCCAGGATTCTATGTTATGTTTTTTAATGCCTGATCTTACTTGGAGTAGATATCCCCTTCTACTTTTGCAAGTACAGATCAACGCATGAATAATAACTAAACATACAACATGTACAGTGCCAGCACTTTTTCTTCAATTCAAAATTCAACAGAACTTAGCAAAATCCACAGACCTAGTTTTAACTCATCAGTATAAATTTAGACCTTCTACGAACTTATACTGCAGGAGCTGGAATACCTAATGCTAGGAGAAAGGGTATCTGCATGACTTGAAGAGTCAATGGCTGACAAAGGGAGGCTGCACCGTACTCAAGACACCAAGAACTCACTCACCTGCCTTCCAAGACCGGCAAAATGTGCGTGCACTGATAACCTGAAGATATCACCAAACCACTGCAGGGCCAGTTCTGCCTTCTGTTGTGGTAGAAACTGTACAAGCTATCTATGCCATAGGACACTTTTGGCACTTGGTAACATTCAAAGAGGAGCTCTGACATCATTTGTCTCGAATAGAGAGGATTGCATACAGCTTCTGTCAGAACGATTGGATGATCCACACAACCCTGTAAGAGACAAGAGAAAAATAATAAAGGTATGAAGGGAAAATCATAGAATAGTTACGACTGGAAAGGTCCTTAAGATCATCTAGTTTCAACCCCCTGCCATGAGCAGGGACACCTCACTCTAGACCATGTCACCCAACTCTCTGTCCAACCTGGCCTTGACCACCTCCAGGGATGGAGCATTTGGCACTTCTCTGGGCACCCTGTTCCAGCACCTCAGCACCCTCACAGGGAAGAACTTCTTCCTTATATCTAACCTGAACTTCCCCTGTTTCAGTTTGAACCCATCAACCCTTGTCCTATCACTACAGTCCCTAATGAAGGTCCCTCTCCAGTGTCCTTGTAGCCCCCTTCAGACACTGGAAGCTGCTCTGAGCTCTCCACGCAGCTTCTCTTCTCCAGGCTGAACAGCCCCAATGTTCTCAGCCTGTCTCCATTCAGGAGCTGCTCCAGTCCCTGATCATCCTTGTGGCCTCCTCTGGACTTGCTCCAACAGCTCCATGTCCTTCTCATGTTGGGGACACGAGAACTGCACACAGTGCTGCAAGGGGGGTCTCACAAGAGCAGAGCAGAGGGGCAGGATCACCTTCTTTGATATCCAGGGATACTTATCCTTGCTTCTTCTTTAAACACCCGCCAGGATTCCTCAAAACCGCAACGAGAAAGTATTTTATGTGCAGGCTATAAATCATGTAAGTTAAATTATATCCAGTGTTTAACGGGGCAAAAAAGAAGTCTTGTCTATATCAAGGCTTCCAATGTTCATTCAACTGAAGAATAAACTCTTGAGGGTGGAGGAGAATGGGTTTTTTAAAGTATATACAAATTATTAAAGATTTAAATCTATGCATTGAGGAGGTGAAGTGCACGTGAAAACCTGTGGAAAGCAGTTGAGCACCAGGTAAAGCTTTCGAACTGGCCTGGCCACACAGGCAAAAGTCTTCATAATCAGAGGAGCAACTCTCAGCCCGGCTGGGGATTCAAAACAAGTCGCCAAAACCAGCACTCATTAAAGTCCCGCTCAAAACCCAGCCGTGGACACCGGCTCTCAGCCCGGCTGGGGATTCAAAACAATTCGCCAAAACCAGCACTCATTAAAGCCCCGCTCAAACCCCAGCCGTGGACACCGGCTCTGGGCCACCGCCTGACGAGATGCTGCAGTCCAGACCCCCCGCCCTGCAGCTGCACCGTCCCGCTTTCCTTTCACCGCAAAGCTACAAAGAAGTTCAGAGCACAGCGCGGTTCAAACGGCACCCCCGGGGAGCGCCGGGCCAGGGTGACCGCAGCAGGCTGCCCAGGGCCGCGGGCTGCGAGGAGGGGACACCCCA